GTTTGAGATCCGGGTGCCACATGATGGAGTGAGCTCCCATCTCTAGTTCCAGCTCCTGCCAACCTAGCAGTTCGAAAGCAAGAAATTGCAAGTAGATAAATAGGTACCACTTCGGTGGGAAGGTAACAGCGTTCCGTGCGCCTTGGTGTTGAGTCATGCCGGCCACATGACCACGGAAACGTCTTCGGACAGCGCTGGCTCTTCGGCTTTGAAACGGAGATGAGCACCGCAACCCTAGAGTCGGATTCGATTGGCTTTCGAGCAAGGGAACCTTTACCTTTACCTTTAAATCACAGTTTGAACCAGGATTGTAAACTATGGATTCTTGTGCCTTGTTGATGTAGTGGTTAGGAGCCAGCATGGTGTAGTGATTAGGAGCACGAACTCTAATCTGGGAGAACCAGGTTTGATTCCTCACTCCTTCACATGCAGCTGCTGGTGTGACCTTGGGTCAGTCACAAGTTCTCTCAGAGCTCTCTCAGTCCCCAAAATAAGTCTCTCTCGCCACCTAGCAGTACATAACGCTAACAGAGCTAGTTCTTTCAGAGCTGTTCTCTTCTTGAAAGAGCTCTCTCAGCCCCCAAAATAAGTCTATCTCGCCACCTAGCAGTACATAACGCTAACAGAGCTAGTTCTTTCAGAGCTCTTCTCTTCTTGAAAGAGCTCTCTCAGCCCCCAAAATAAGTCTATCTCGCCACCTAGCAGTACATAACGCTAACAGAGCTAGTTCTTTCAGAGCTCTTCTCTTCTTGAAAGAGCTCTCTCAGCCCCCAAAATAAGTCTATCTCGCCACCTAGCAGTACATAACGCTAAAAGAGCTAGTTCTTTCGGAGCTGTTCTCTTCTTGAAAGAGCTCTCTCAGCCCCCAAAATACATCCAGTTCGCCACCTAGCAGTGCATAATGCTAAAAGAGCTACCACTTCAAGCTGCCAGGCAATCTTAGGATCTCCTGGCTATCCTACACAGAGTGCTATACGATTATTATCATTATCACATTATCACTGAGAGCCAGTTTGGTGTAGTGGTTAAGTGTGCGGACTCTAATCTGGGAGAACCGGGTTTGATTCCCCACTCCTCCACTTGCACCTGCTGATGTGACCTTGGGTCAGTCGCAAGCTCTGGCACAGCTGTTCCTGAAAGAGCAGTTTGTGTCAGAGTTCTCTCAGCCCCACCCACCTCACAGGGTGTCTGTTGTGGGGAGGGGAAGGGAAAGGAGATTGTGAGCCGCTCTGAGACACCTTTGGGTAGTGAAGGGCGGGGTATAAATCCAATCTCTTCTCTTCTTCTTCTTCTATTATTATGATTACTACACCCTTCAGCCTCACCCATATGGAGGGAGTAGCACATACTAGAAGAAAATCTTTCTCCTCTGTTTGCGTTCCACTGTGGATAGGGTAAGGACACTCCCTCCCCCCCTCCCTTTCTTTCTGTCTTCTCTGCTTCCAGTCTAGCGATGAATCACTAACCAGAAATGTGCTTCAGAGACTTCAGTCTCTCCCCGGAGAAAAATTTTAAATGACAAGAGAAGGGGTGGGGGGAAATTCGGTTTAGGGAAATGGTTCTCAAACTGCAACCAGGGCCTCGAAAGTGGGTTGTGATTCGTTTGCAGGTGGGTCGCTCAGTCGGGGGGAGCGTTACCCAAATCAGTCCCTGAGCTGGGTCTGAACGCCCCTTATAGGTTTAAGACTAGGCAAAAGTTCTGGGGTCCAGTCGGTACTGTTCCAGTCCAGTGTATACACAACTCCTAAAACTGACCCAGAGATTCACCGTAGGGAAAAAAGGGAAAGAAATATAAAGACTACGGTTGACATCCCCCCCAAGGGGGGTGGGGTTCCCCCTGATTTCGCCCCCCCCCGATTCTCTGTCGGCCAGCTGGCCGGTGGGCGGAGCCCTGCCCCCAAGAGCCCCGTCCTGCCTGATGTGCTCGGTGCGATGACATCACCCAGTGACGCCACCCGGCGTGATGACCATCGAGTTTTTTGCCCAAATGCTAGACGAGCATCCCACCCGCCATGCCCGGCGTGATGACGTCCCCTCTGGGTGACATCATCACAGGGCACGTGCTTTGCATGCACACCAGAAGACTCCCGGAGCAGGACTGGATTCCCCCTCCCCCTGTCACCAGCAGCCAGACAAGACCCGGCAACCCTAATAAAGACAAAGCATGCAACCTGCGAGTTACTTTAATACTCTTAAAAGTACAAAATCAAAGACCGAGGTCTGAAGAAGTGAAGAATAAGAGAAGAGATTGGATTTATACCCCGCCCTTCACTCAGAGTCTCAGAGCAGCTTACAAACTCCTTTCCCTCCCCCTCCCCACAACAGACACCTGTACAGGATGGAGTGACATACATTCAACTCACGCAAATCTATGCTACCAGAAGTATTGGTGGACTTTAATTGGCTATACCTGAGGCCTATCATATACAACAATAATATACATATAAATATATAAGGATACAACATCTGGCCTTCTATTGCATATGTACTTAACATCTGATGTTAAAAAAAACTTTTTTTGAATGTATGTCAAGTTTGTATTTTGGATTGTGACCACTGAGGAAGGCCCTTTGGGGCCGAAACCCGTCTGGTTCAGTTGCACAGCACTAACCCATCTATGTATGAGT